TCGTTCGGGCTCCTCGTGGTGTGAGTCGTTCGGGCGCCTCGTCTTGGTGTGAGGCGTTCGGGCCCTTCCTTGTGGTGTGACTCGTTCGGGCTCCTCGTGGTGTGAGTCGTTGGGGTCTGTCGTCCTGGTGTGAGCCGTTCGGGCTCCTCGTTGGGCCTGTTGGGGGCCTCTTGGAGCTCTTGGGGCGTCTGGGGGGCCTCTCGGGGGCTTCTTGGGGGTGTCTTGGGGGCCTCTTGGAGCCTCTTGGGGCCTCTTTGGGGCCTCTTGGGAGCCTCGAGGGGACCTCTAGGGGCCTCTTGGGGGCCTCCTGGAGGCCTCTTGGGAGCCTCCTGGGGGCCTCCTGGGGCTATCTTGGGGTCTCTTGCGACCTCCTCAGAAGCGTTAGTCAGCGCTGACCCCTGAGAAGGACAAAATCAGCCCAAAACCTTCGTAAAAACAATGATTCTGCTAAGAAGGAAGAGGAACGCGGCCCCCTCAGAAGGCCAAAATGGGGCCACAACCGTAGTACAATCAATGTTTTTTTACTTCAACGACGAGTTCAGGTTGTTGTGATGCATATTGCACTCCTTCCCCAAGTGGCCCCATAGAGTAGATTAAAGTGGCCACTTGTTGTTATGATGCATGTTTCACTCCTTGCCCCATTGGCCCCGCCCTCGTTGTAGCAGCGTTGTGGCGGCTATCGCTCGAGGACATGCAGGCACGCCAGAGATAATGCGAGCGTTCGCGTCTGTGTGCGTTGCAGATATGTGAGTCGTTCCAGCTCTTCGTGGTATGAGTCGTTGGGGCCCCTCGTCCTTCCTTGTGTAACTCCTTCGGGCCCCTCATTGTGTGCACGTCGTTCGGGCTCCTCGTGGTGTGAGTCCTCTCCTTGTGTGTGAGTCGTTCGGTCCCCTCCTCCTGGTGTAACTCGTTCGGGCTCCTCGTGGCGTGAGTCGTTCGGGGCCCGCGTCGTGGTGTGAGTCGTTCGGGCTCCTCGTGGTGTGAGTCGTTCGGGCGCCTCGTCTTGGTGTGAGGCGTTCGGGCCCTTCCTTGTGGTGTGACTCGTTCGGGCTCCTCGTGGTGTGAGTCGTTGGGGTCTGTCGTCCTGGTGTGAGTCGTTCGGGCTCCTCGTTGGGCCTGTTGGGGGCCTCTTGGAGCTCTTGGGGCGTCTGGGGGGCCTCTTGGGGGCCTCTTGGGGGCGTCATGGGGGCCTCTTGGAGCCTCTCGGGGCCTCTTGGGGGCATCTTGGGAGCCTCGAGGGGACCTCTAGGGGCCTCTTGGGGGCCTCTTGGGGGACTCCTGGAGGCCTCTTGGGAGCCTCCTGGGGGCCTCTTGGGGCTATCTTGGGGTCTCTTGCGACCTCCTCAGAAGCGCTAATATGCGCTGACCCCTGAGAAGGACAAAATCAGCCCAACACCTTCGTAAAATCAATGCTTCTGCTAAGAAGGAAGAGGAGCGCGGCCCCCTCAGAAGGCCAAAATGGGGCCAACACCTTAGTAACATCAATGTTTTTTACTTCAACGACGAGTTCAGGCGCCAAACTCCCTCCCCCCCCTCGGGGCCAAAATCCTCGTGAGGGTCGTCGTTTTTTGGCCCTCCCAGGAGTCGAACAAGACCACTCCAATCACCCGCGGCGCCCCCTCTCCAGGTCCAGGGGGAGGGGGTAGGGGGAGGGGTAAACCCCTCCCCGAAGGGGAAGAAGGGGGGTTGGGGGTCGAGGACAGAGAAAGCTCGCTAAACCACTCACGCCCAAAGGGCTGGTGGGATTCGGCAGCCTGGATCAGTGCACCAGTGTATTTCGCCCCAGGCAGCAATTTGTTTTCCTCGACGGTGGCGGGTACAGATTTGTCTGGGGGAGGCGAAGAAACGGTCAAATGTATGCGATTGAGGGTCGGCGCCGGCGCCGCTTCGAAAGGGGAGCCAGGCAGAAGAGTCTGAGGGATGGTGGAGGATTTGCATCTTTTTGTTTTTTCGTGTGCTCGTTTCGTGCCCTTTTCCATTTGTGTTTTGGGGTGTGCACCAAATGGTGCCTTATGGCTGGTTTGGTATACCCGTGTGCTTTTGTTCGATTGAAGTCGAGTGCGCCAAAAATGTCCGTCGCCAGGTAGTTTCGCTTGGTGGCGCGCCAGACGGCTCCTCGGCTCGCCCAGCGGCCGCGCCTTGGCGGGTTGTCGAGCCCGTCTCTCAGCGCCTGGCGGTTGCTCCTTCGGCGCCCTGTCGTGTGCCGCGTGAGATCGTTTTCCCCCCCCCCCAGAACCGGATTGTCTGACCCCTGCGCGCCCCCTAGACATGTTCGGCGGCGAGCGAGGGAGGGCATTGAGAAGGTGAAGGCCTTTTCAGAAGGCGGCGGGGCCTCTCAGAAGGCCTCCCTCCCCCTGAGAAGTTTTTTTGCGTTTTCGGGGGATGCCTTGAGAAACTCTCAGAAGCCCACGGGACCTCCGAGCCTCCTTGAAAACCCCGCCCCCCTTTCCATTCCCGCTCGTTCGCCGCCGAGTCATGTTGCACCAGCCGACGCGACATCGGGCGCATGGCCGCCTGGCCTGACCACCCTGACCAGAGGCTTTTCGTCGGCACGGCTGGATCCACCCAGAAACACGGGTCGACAGAGGGAGGGGGAGGGAGGAGGGAGGGAGGTGGGAGGAAGGGAGCGAGGGGGAGGGAGGGATGGATAGGAGGGAGGAGGGGAGGAGGGAGGAGGGAGGAGGGAGGAGGAGGAGGGAGGGAGGGAGGGAGGAGGGAGGGAGGGAGGGGAGGGAGGGAGGGAGGAGGCGGGGAGGGAGGGGAGGGAGGGGGGAGGGAGGAGAGGAGGGAGGAGGGAAGGAGGAGGAGGAGGACAAGGTCAGGGTGGACCCCGGCAGGGGTCGAGAGACCGACTCTCTGCGGACTGGGGCCAGGCGGGGGGCCCCGCCGTCGTCTCGGCTGGCCTTCCCTCGGGGGGAGAGTGGGCAGGGCTCCTCCTCCTCCTCCCCTCCCCCCCCCTTCCTCCTCCTCTTCCTCCTCTTCCTCCTCCTCCCTTCCTCTCTCCTCCTCCTCCTCTCCTCCTTCTCTCCTCCTCCTCCTCCCTCCTCCTCCCCCTCCTCCTCCTCCTCCTCTTCCTCCTCCTCCTTTCCCTCCCCCTCCTCCTCCTCCTTCTCCTCCTCCTCCTACTCTTCCACACGTGGGCGTGGGCGAGGGAGGAGTGGATGGGGGGGGACTTGAGATCTGGGCGTTGCATGCTTCCCACATGTCGGGCGGGGTTTTGGTTTCCCCCCCACCCGTATCGCACCCGCGTCACTCGCGTCAACGCCTCACCCTCCTCGGCAGTCCTTCTCCGCGCTCCTACGCGCATCATACATGCGCGCGCAAGGCGTACTCGCACATGCCTTGCGCACAATAGCCGCGCACACGCATCATATGCGTACGCGGCACGACAACTCACTGCAACCACACGTCACACACGTCCACATACAGCCGTACACAAAGCACATACGTACACAAGAATGGACGCTGTTCGACACCAGAGGGGCCACAGGGGGTGCGCAGGCAGTGTGGTCTCGATGCGCTGCAGGCTCGCAGGGCGTGGCAGGCGTGGCATCTCCTCGACGCTAGAGGGCGCGACGGGGGTGCGATCTCTATGCGCTGCAGGCTCGCAGGGTGTGGCTAGCGCTGCATCTTCCCGACGCCAGGGGGGGTGCACAGGGTGTGGGGGCGCTATCCGCTGCAGGCTCGCACGGCGTAGCAGGCGTGGCACGTTCTCGACACCAACGGAGGTGCACAAGGGGTGGGGGCGCTATCAGTTGCAGGCTCGAAGGGGATGGCAGGCGTGGCAGTTTGTAGACGCCAAAGGGGGCCGCTGGCATCGTCGGGCGCCCAACTCGAGATATGGACGGCGCTGATGACGCTGGTGACGCTGATGCTGATGTGACGATGCTGCAGCTTCTTCTGGGGAGGGGGAGGGGGGAGGAGGAGGAGGAGGAGGAGGAGGAGGAGGAGGAGGAGAAGGAGGAGGAGGAGGAGTGAAAGGAAAAGGAGGAGGAGGCAAGATGATATCGGTGAGCGAGCGAGGGAGCTGGGGGGGAGGCGGGGATACCTACGCTGGGGGCAGAGGGAGGAGGCCGAGGATGGCGGCGACGACTGCCGACGAGGAGGCGGCGGCGGCGGCGGGAACGAGGGGCCCCATCCTCCCGTTGAGTCGGGCGAGTCTCACTACAGGAAGAAAATTCGAAAACGGTTCAAAGATAGTCTGGGGGCGATTTTTCTGGTATTCTTGTTTACACGCCGGTTGTTGAAAGTAGTTGGATTCCCAGACCCCAATCTACTTCAAGCGCCTTCCCACTTCAAGAATCGACACGCTTTTGCTGTGTTTTGCCATTCCCTGGGGGGGCCTGGACCCAATCAACTTAATCCGCCTTCCCACTTCATGTTTCTACCTACTTCTTCCGACCGGCGTGCAAGCATGTTGTGAATTGGCTTGCGTACATTTCTATTCCTCGTCCAGAATCCGCCTGTAGGAGGACATGCCCGACTTGATCCTCCCCCTCGAAGTTGGCAGCCCGACGCGGCGCGTGCCGCCCCGCCGCGGCCGCGGCCGCGTCGCGGCGCGCGGCGCGCGGCGCGCGGCGCGGCGCGGCGCTGCCGGCGTCGGGCCCCCTCCGGGCCCGGCCGCCCCATGGAGGAGGAGGTGCCATGCGGGGGTCGCCAAAGGTGCCCCTGGCCTGACCCGGGGGCGGCAAAGAGGGGGGTGACGACTCGGGGGGGGTGGATGTCATGGCGGGGGCCATGGGATCTCCCCAGATTTCATGGCGAATCTTCTTATTTCAATACGTCCCTGGCCCCCCCCCCCCCCCCCCGGGGCCGCGCACGTGCCGCCGGCCACTGTTTGCGCCCCCCCCCAACCCCTCTTGGACACCGCCCCCTCGGTCGCCCCTGACCCGGGGCCCCCTGGGCCTCGCGACGTGTGCTTGGAGGCCGTGGGGGCCTCCTGGGAGATCCTGAGGCGCCGCGGGTCAGGGGCACCTGTGGCAGCACCCGAGCCATGGCGGATGGAGGACATCCAGCACATCCCCGGGCAGGAGGCGCGGCAGGATGCGCCGTGGACCGGCACGTCGCCCACAAGGCCCCCCGGACGAAGAACAGCGCGGCACAAGCATCAGGAGAGGCTAAGTCCAGACGGAGTACGCCCAGAAGGAGACCGAGCATACCGTGTGGACTTACTCCTTCTGGCTTCAGCCTCCTATCAGGAGATGCTAAGTCCAGATGGAGTAAGCCCAGACGCAGACCTCTTGCTCCGTATGGATTCAGAGGCTCCTGAGAGCATCGAATTTCGGAGCTCCGTGCCGCTGAGGGAGGAGGAGGAGGAGGAGGAGGAGGAGGAGGAGGAGGACGAGGAGGAGGCGGTCGTGAAAGGGGGCGAGTGGGCGGAGGAGACTCGAAGAATCAAACGCGGCATCAGCACAGGCTTTCGGAGTCCCGCGCGGAGTTCTTGGGTCGGCGCTGGGCCCTCCTCCCCCCTGCCGCGCCTCCGGCGCCGCCCTAGGCGCGCTCCGCGCGCCAGGGTGGGGGGGGTGTCGGGCCGAACGAAAGGGGGGGGTAGGGAAAGGGGGGGTGCGAAATCTGCTGCGTGCTGCTGGTTTCGGCCCCGCCGTCCGGCCCATTCCTCGATATACTTGGGCGCCTCCCGGCTCCAGGAGGCGCCGGGAACATCAGCTACGTGAGCTGATTCTCAACCCCCCCCTCTGCTATCCCGCCCTTTCGCTCGGCCCGAGGGGTCCAGGGCCGATCCAAGAAGAATCCGCGCGGACCTCCAAAAGTTTGAGCTGATGCCGTTTTTGCTGCCTTCCAGGCGGAGGCAGCGGGGCGGGGCGAGGAGCCGTCGGGGCCTCTCCTCGAGCGGAGGGGCGGCCGCGCCGTGCAGGGAGTCGGCGGGGGTGCGGTGGCCGCGCGGCTTCGGGATGGGGGTCCTTCTTCGAGGACGCCTCGGTCGAGGTGCCCTGACTCCAGATCCGCCCTACTTTGGCTTTTCTTCCAGCTTAAAATGGCGTCGGAAATCCACCGATAAGGAACCGAGAAAGCAGGGCGGAAATTTCTGCGCCCAACATAAAGTAGGGCGGAAATCCACAGAAGTAGGGCGGAAACAGCAACAGAAAAGTAAGGCGGAAATTGGCATCAGCGGGGCTTGAAAAGCGAGGCGGAAATTCCAAGCCCTACTTACGAATTTCCCCAAAGTAGGGCGGATCCGGAGTCGGGGTGGGCCTCCCGGGTTCCCAAAACCGCGGGGGGAGCTCGAGGTCACCGTACCGGTTGTCGCCGCCGTTCTGCACGCCTGTCGTCGAGCACGGGCACTTCTGGATTCGCAGATCCTGATTTGCTTCACGCGCCTTCCCGCTTCGGGCATCGGCATGTGTTTGCTCTGTCTTGCTGTGCTCTGGACGGGCCCGACCACCCTCTGCTCGACCCGCCTTCCCTCTTTGTGCTTCCACGCACTTCTTCCAACTGGCGGGCATTTGGACGTCCCACGAGCATGGGGATTGGGGGGTACGTATCGGCGGCGAGCGAGGGGGTGGAAGTGAGAGGGAGGAGGCCTTCTCAGAATGCGGCGGGACGCCTCAGAAGCCCTCGCGCCTTCTGAGAAGTTGTTCGTGTATTCGGGGGAGACTTAAGCACACTTCTCAGAAGGTTCGGGGGACTTCCGAGCCGTCTGAGAAGCCCCGCCGCGCCCCTTCTCACTTCCCCCCCTCGCTCGCCGCCAAACGTAGCCGTCGCGCTCGGGACACGCCGGCGCATCTCACACTCCACGTTCGTGGATGCACGGCGGACGCTGGCGCCGTTGGGGGGGCCGAGCGCGGCCGCTGCCGGGCTGCAGCGGTCACCCTCCATGTAGGTCGCCCTCCATTTATATTTAGGTCGCCACCCATTCAGGGCCCTTACCCCTCCTCCGCCTCCTCCTCCTCTTCTTTCTCCTCCTTCTCATCCTCCCCTCTCTTTCCCTCCCTCCACCTCCTTCTCTTCCTCCTCCTCCTCCTCCTCCTCCTCTTCCTCCTCCTCCTCCTTCTCCTCCTCCTCCTCCTCCTCCTCCTCCTCCTCCTCTCTTCCTCCTCCTCCTCCTCCTCCTCCTCCTTCTCCATTTAGGCCCCTCTAGGGCCCTTCACCCCCCATTTAGGTCACCCCCCATTACCACCCGCCCGACGAGAGGGGCGGAGGAGAGAGAGGGCCAACGGCGACCGGGAGTGCCTGGCGGGCAGGCACACACACACAAAGTCGACGCGCGAGCTCCAGCGGCGGCTGATGTGGGCAAGTACGGGCAGATTCAGGAGGGGGAAAAACACAGACACAATGAATCGTCCACTCCCCGGAAAATATGGGAAACTATCGGAAGGGGGAGGGAAGACAAAAACCCAGAAGATATGGGAACATATGGGGGATTATTTTATTTGTGTGTATTTCTGTTTGTGTCCCAGGGCCCCTTCAGATGTGGGCAAGTACGGGCAGATGAGACTTGGGGCAAACTCTGGCCGTCCGCTCCCCTCCCCACGAGCGGAGAGTGTGTCCGCGCCCTGCGATCCGGATTCCGCGGCACGGTCCCGTGGGTGCGCGGTTGCAGTGACAACGCGCCGCGCGGAGCAGCCGCGGCACGAGCGCTTTCTGTATCCACTGCAGCGCGGCCCAGGAGCCAGGCCCGCGAGGCCGTGGATGCGGATGCGTCTTGCGCGGAACTCTCGAGCGGGAGTGCGATTGTCCGAGAAGTTGTGTGAAAGTATCACGCGGGAGGAGGAGGAGGAGGAGGAGGAGGAGGAGGAGGACGAGGAGGAGGAGGAGGAGGAGGAGGAGAGGAGGAGGAGGAGGGAGGAGGGAGGAGGAGAAGGAGGAGGAGGAGGAGGAGGAGGGAGGAGGGAGGAGGGAGGAGGGAGGAGGAGGGAGGAGGAAGAGGAGGAGGAGGAGGAGGAGGAGGAGGAGGCCAGTGGCCCGAGCTGGCGCTCAAGTCTGTCCCTTGCTGACAGAGGAGAGTGGGGACCCTGGAGAGGACACCTGTGTTACCCCGAGGGTGGGATCAACGGGGGATCTTCTGAGAAAGTGGTGCTTGAACACACAAGAAACAATAGACAAACATAATCCAGGCCATGTAATCCCATATCACCCACGCACCCAGGGATGGTACAGGACCGTTCGGCCACCTCGCTCGGACTCCCCCTCTCCCCTGGGTCGGGATACAGTCGGGGCGCTGAGGAAGGAACCATGTTCGTTGGGGAGGGGCTCGGTGCTCCTCGATTTGTTACAGTCTGCCTGAGGTTTTCCTGAGGCTTTCCATGGGAGCTCGAAGTTTACCTCTTGGGGAAAAGGGGCCGCGTTCCTTATTTGGGGTTCCCGGGGTCGACGCCCCGACTCTGTTGGTGCCGTTGGCGCTCGCCGGCCGTGCGCCCCTGGGGGGCCCTCCTGCCCCCCCCCGGACTCGTGGGCGGCGCGCAGCGCCGGCGGCGTGCCCCGGTGCCGTCGGCGTGGGAGGGCGCCGGGAGGTGGTGGGCTGGGGCCTGCGATCGCACACATGGATCGAGGGGGCGTAATGAGATTTAAAGTAAAACACTACTATCTCTCTCTATACAGATGTATATATATATATATATATATATAAACACCAAATTTTTAAAAGGGGGCGTAATTCGATTAGCGACGGGTCCCGTTTCCATGGGAAGTCGCGGATTGCCGCCGCCGGGCGCGGCGGCACCGGCCGCACTGTTGGGGAGGGCACGCCCCCCCCGATCCATGGATTTGGCGACCGCGCGCCGAGTCCATGGATCGCTGATATCCTCGTGTGCGCGCCCCCGAAGGAGGGCGTTTACCCCGATCGTGGGTCCAGCATGGGCCTGACCAGGTACAGATGCACAGACGGCGCCCCTCGAGAGAGACGGAGAAGGAGGAGGCTCGAGGGGAGGGAGGGAGGGAGCCCAAGCTCCTCCCCTTCTCCCTCGAGCCGATGGGGGGAAGTTTGAGTTGCGGCCCGCAACTAAAACTTCCCCCCCATTTTTACCTATTTCACATCGGCCCGTAACTATTTCCCGCAACGCAACAGCGGGGACATTTTTTCACCTATTCCACAGCACCTCATTTTCTTACACGCTTCATGCAATCTCATGTTCTCCTGGATTCCCAGGCCGTCCATGAGCAGCTGCCTTTTCATGGTGCTGTGTATATGCCTTCTTCCCCCGTTTGAGTTGCGGGCGCGAGGTCCGAGGCCTCGCGGGCGCCCTCGCTGGTCTTCTCTTCTGCCGCTCGGCGGCCTCCGCGGCCTCGCGGCGTGCGCTCCGGCGGCGGGGCCCCGCCGGGCGCGTGCGCCCGGGGGGGTGCCCGGCCGGGGTAGGCTCGGGCGGCCGCCGGGGGCCCGAAGTAGCAGGCAGTGGCGAAGCGTCCTGGCTCGCCTGTAGCCCCACCGAGCAATGGTCTGAGAACCCTGTGTGGTTCCCACGAGATGTTCTGAGAACATTTCTGGCTGGGACTGCCTTGTTTTGTCACATCCGGTTCATGTTCCAAGAACATCGTTTGTGTTGTTAGAACAATTGTGGGTTCTAAGAACATTTCGTGGTAGGACTATAGGAATGCCGGGACGGTCGGTCCCTGCTCAAAAGTAGGAGCGGGACTCTGCACGAACGACATGGACACGGGAAGAATGGGTGCACGCCCAACAGCGGACGTTGTTCCTTTTGAGCAGGACTCGCTGTCCACGCTGCCGCGGCCTGTGCCCATTCGAGACAGGAGGCCGCCTGCCCAACAGCGGCCGCTGTTGGTTTGCGGCAACATTTGTTGTTCGGCATTGTACCCAGTCTTTCCGTACCCATATCGGGCGTCCAGAGGGAGGATCGGAAGGGGCTTAGAGGGTCGGGCATGCCTTTCTACAGGGCGAATGTGCAAAAAAAGCAAAACATCGGATGGCGACGATGTTTCTATGATGTGTCCCAATGTGTGGGGGGCAGTGTGTCAATCTTTTCAATTTTTCGTCCAAGATCCGCCTGGAGGGGGACATGCCCGACCTAACAACAGTTCTGCTTCATTCCGAGCAGGGTTCGTTGTCGGCGTCTCTGCGGTCGTTCCCCATTTGAGACAGAAGGCCGCGGCCGCTGTCGGTTTTGGACAGAGCTTGCTCTTCTGTTGGGCATCGTAACCGTTTTCATCGTGCCCATTACGGGCGTCCAAACCCAGACATGCGACGTCCTGATGTTTTCCAGACGGTGTCCCTGGAAGCCCCGACCCTTTCCCCGGGACAGGGTTTTCGTCCTGAATGGTTTTCTGACGGCCCCGAGGCTTGGCGAGGGCCCCCCGAGGCTGAAAATAGCCAAAAACTTCCCGTCCTATTTTTTCGTACGACGCGATCATGTCAGGGGGGGAACAAACACACAGACACAATTCATCGTCGATTCCCCTTCGAAAATATGGGGAAGTCTGGGAAGTGGGGGGGGACAAGAACCCAGAAAATATCGGAAACGATGGGGAATCCTGTTATTTGTGTCTACAGGGCCCCTTCATCTCCTCCGTGTCCTCGTCTGCAGTCAAAGCTCGGACCAAAGGGCGCGTGGCTGTCCTCGGGATACCCTTTGCGCCCTAGCCTAACGCCTCCGGGGCCCGACCTGCGGCCCGACCTGCGCGGTCATGTCTGGGAATCGGGCGCGAAAGCCAGACGCCGCGGCGCGCCGGGGGGGGGGGGGAGCGTATACGGGAGAGAGGACCGGCGGCCTCCTCAAGAGGGCGGCGGGGCTCCTCACAGAAGCCCTCTCCGGCCGTCTCGAGAGAGGCTCGCTGCGGCCTCGGAGGACGCACAGGGAGCTTATCCCAGAAGCCAGGGAAGGAAGAGGTGCCCATACATCTCCCCTCCTTTTCTCGACTTTTTTCACCAGCCTCGAACTTGTCCCTATCCCTAAGCTTGACACGCCGAAAGGCGATGGCACTCTTAGGGATGCGCCCTCAAGAACTGAGGGGATCCCTGAGTTTGGCATCGTGATGGGGCGATGCCCAGCATAGGGATGGGGATACGTTCCAGGCTGGTAATTGTTGGGCCTCCTGGGCCTCCGTCGTCGCCACCGCTGGATTTGCCTCGAAATCCTAGTCAGAGCGCACCCCGGGAGAGGTCCGGGGAGCAGCGGTATCGGTATCTGTTGGTTTCCCCAAGAAGGACGCGGGCACTTTTGAGCCCTCTGAGAAAGCCCGCCCCCTCTGCCTTCCCACTGAGCGCGCCGCAGGGTCGTCCCTCCTCCGATCTCTCCTTTCGCCGGCGGAGGCCCCAGAAAAGCCACAAAGCAAGCAGTCTCGACCCGAGCTCAGCACAGGGCAGGACGTGCGCAAGGGGGGGGGGCGCATGAAGAGGGCCGAGAGCAGCTCACGCGGGAGGCGCCTGCCCGAGAGGCACCTCTTGTGCGGGGCATGGCGTGTCCTGGCTTCCCTTCCCTCCTGGTCCCGCTCCCCCCCCCCCTCCTCCTCCTCCTCCTCCTCCTCCTCCTCCTCCTCCTCCTCCTCCTCTCCTCCTCCTCGTCACTCCTCCTCCTCCTCCTCCTCCTCCTCCTCCTCCTCCTCCTCCTCCTCGTCACTCCTCCCTCTGGCCCCGTGGGAGACGGAGCCCTTTGGTCGCGGATGCGCCGCGCGGAACCCGATTAACTATCCGTGCGACCGCGTCTCCGCGGGATCGCGCCCAGGAGTCCGGACCGCGAGGGCGCGGATACGGACGCCCTCGCCGTTCGCGGATGCCTCCTGCTCCTGCCTCCCTCCTCCACCTCCTCGTGCTCCTCCTCCTCGTGCTCCTCCCCCTCGTCCTCCTCCTCCTCCTCCTCCTCGTGCTCCTCCACCCCCCCTCCGGCTCCGTGCAGTTCCGTCCTCCCGCTGATCCGCCCACCTCGCGCATCCCCGCTTCCTCCTCCGTCTCCTCCGTCTCCTCCGTCTCCTCCTCCTCCTGCTCCTGCTCCTCCTCCTCCTCCTCTTCCTCCTCCTCCCTTCTCCTCCTCCTCCTCCCCTCCCCTTTCTCCTTTTCCTTCTCCTCTTCATCATCCTTGTTCCTCTCTCCTCTCGGATTTCCCCTCCCCTGAGCATCAACAGGCAGCATCGATCCCGTCCCTCCCCCCCTCGTCCTGCCTGTGGACGCTGCTCCTGCGTCCACAGGCATCAATCCCCCATTCGCCGAATGCTGCTGCTTGCTAATGGTGTTTCTTCCTGTTCAAACCCAGCCCTCCGCTTGTCAATGGTGCTGCTGCTTCTCTTGCCCCTGGGCTCCAGTAACGCGCCGCTCCCGCCGACGAGGCGAGTGGCAGCGGGGCTGAAGCGGACTTTCACGCTGACCCTCGAGAGCTACGCGTTCGGCGCGACGGGGCTGTTGTGAACACGGGGAGGGTTCCCCTCTCGCCACCCCCGCCCGTCCGCTCGCATTTCCCCCCCTCGCTCACTCGCAGCTCTCTCCACAGCCTCGCTCTGCTCCTCTTCCCTATTGCTACTGCCGCAACTCCTCAATCTAAATACTACTCTCTTCTCTCCTCTCCTGCTCCCCTCCTCCTCCCCTCCTCCCCTCCTCCTCT